ACGAGAACGCGAGTACGTACTCGCGTTCTCGTGAATTGAGAAACGCTTAATGTTTCAAATGTGAAATAAATCAATGAAAGCTGTAATATGTTATGCATTTTATGTGAGAAACAACAGCAAATAAAAGAAGTAGCAAAGTTGTACTCCACCTATTCCTATTAAAACCTCATTCGCTGAAAAATAATAATGCCTCTTTGTTTGGGCGAGTGTGTGTGCAAGAGAAAGAGGGTAGTGGCTAAAGGAAGAGAGGTAGGAGGGCAAAATAGGTTTAGCGCCACCGCAGCACGGGAGTCAGAATTACGTCCAGGAGCAAATGGATAAAAATAAACATGAATCGATACTCCTCCGGATGTGTCGATGCATCGGATCGTCGGCTGTTGGATCAATAAATCGATACTCGATTATTATTTACATCCGTAGGGATTATGGTGGGCATTTGGACGCAGCCCCTGTTTTGGTTTAATGAGGGAAGCCACAGATAAAGGCTTGTTTATCTTTCTAAAGAAAGTAAGAAAAACACAGACTTTTTTTCCAAGTTCGAAGACGTTTTGCTTCCCATCCAGGAAGCTTTTTCAAGTCAAAATGTCTTAAATTAGCGTTTAGTTCTAAGCTTTATAGAGCAGCCCAACAAAGCCTTGTTTTGGCTTAGAAATCATGAAAATAGAACCGGAAGAACAGGTCCACCTTTTGGTAATATGGGGTTGTTGAGGGGATTGTTAGCCTGCAATACCTGAAACATGCCTATGCCTCTGAAAGCGGGTCATTCGGGGGAATTGTTGGTCTAGCTGACCAGATGAGTTGTCTTTGTCCTCTACATGAGGATTATGATAACGGGAAGGAATCAAATCTATAACTGCGTTGCAGTTTTTTGAGAGCTGAAACCTGAGTCCACACCCTCTGTTTAATAAATAAATGGCTTCCTTCACACTCCTTTCAAACAACTCGTCTTCTTTGTCCAAACTATGAACCTCTTTATCTTATATAAATGTTTTTTTTTTTAGCTTCTAGCACTTCTAAAATAAAAGTTTTTGACTTTTTAAAACTGACTCTTGTTTAGACATCAGTTTTAATTATCTTTTAAACTTTGATAAAACTAAATAATATGTTAAATATATTTAGAAGTCATCCATCTTTATGTAAAATAATTTTATCTAGATATAACAAATCTATGAATTTTGAAGTTCAGCCAATTAAGAAATAATCCACTTCATAAGTGTGCTAAATCAGAAGCCAGTCGTCGAAATAAAGATGTTTCTTTATGAACGTAATGTAATAAAATCCAATTAGGTAATTTTGTACATGATTGCCTGGGAAATCTGGAAAAGTATGTAATCATGAAGGGAAATAATTCTAAAAACCTCCTCAATGATTTCATTTTTTATTTATTGTTTATATCTTTCAGATTTACACCCAAAAATTTACATCAGCGCCCTACCGTGGCGCTGCTGTGTGGACCCCATGTTCAGGGCGCACAGGGCATCAGCTGCGGACGTCACCTGGCCAACCACGAAGTGGAGGTCATCCTCTTTCTGCCGAACTTTGTCAAGATGCTCGATTCTGTGACGAGCGAGTTGACGCTCTTCAACAAGACTAGTGGCAAACAGGTGTCCAGCATCAAAGGTCGGCTTTGCTTTAACTCGGTTTAGATTTGGTTATCAGGAAATCAGACGGCGAGTCATGATGTAATGTTCTGTATTTTATTTCTATAGATCTTCCCGACACCCCGGTTGATCTCATCATAAACTGCCTGGACTGCCATGAGAACCCGTTTCTGATGGATCAGCCGTGGTACCGGGCGGCTGCAGACTGGGCCAATCAGAACAGAGCCCCGGTGCTTAGCTTGGATCCTCCTGTGAGCGGGCAGGGTCACGCGGTCGAAGCCAAGTGGTCTCTGTCGCTTTGCCTCCCGCTTCCGTTGGCTGAAGGAGCCGGCAGAGTTTACCTGTGCGACATAGGCGTCCCTCTGCAGGTGTTCCAGGAAGTGGGAATCAAGTACCGTTCTCCCTTTGGTTGCAAATTTGTCATCCCCTTGCACTCCGCTTAACGGGACTGATAAAACCTTTCACCTACCTTGACCTTTTGGGTTTTGGCGCCTTATATTCCACGAGTCTCAGCTGTTTCTTCCAGGTCACCCAAGCAGGCTCTGATTCATCCTGGTTCGTCATACGGAACGACAACTGTTCTTCAGTCATACAGATGCTAAAGCATGCAGATACAGGAGAGATAAGCTTTCAAGTCTTTGCTCTTCGTATTCAAAAGATTGAATCGCACTGTTGGAAAAAAGGACTTTGAACAGAAAAAAATATAAATGCAGTCCATTAAATCCATCACAATGTAAACAGAAAAGCCTTTCTGCTCTGAATCAGGCAGGACGTGTCTGCAGGAAGCCTCATGTGTCTTTCATGTGCTGCTTGACCGTTTCTTTCTTTATCTCGGACAGCATAAATAGAAAAGACACTGAATGCTATAGAGCCATGAAAGCAGGTTTGTTGGTGTAACTTCAATGCTGTATTTTTGTACAGATAAGCTGATATTTAGCTTAAATTTAGCTTCCATAGCTACAAGTTTGGTAACTGGCAGAATCCAATTTTCTTCTTTTTGTCGTTCTGCCAGTAACAGAGTTCCTCTTCTGCAAAGAAAGTTACCGTTTTTTTTTCTACCCCCAGTTTGCGTGCAGCAGCGTTAAAGTTCAGCCTTACGGCAAAGTGCATGCAGATCTCACATGGTCTCTATAAATACGGCTTTGTGTAAAACTTTGCCGTATATGTAGGACATCTTCTTCCGCAAAAACAAGCCTGGTGAATGAAGCCCAAGAAATATATTTTTGTACTGTTTCTTTGGATGGGTCAGCTGCTGGGTTTTCCCAGTGAAAAAGGTTAACTGGGCTGATTTACTCTGCTAATTTGATTCTGCACAAACGGCCTTATTGGGAATTTAGGATTCATTCATCGTGGAGGAAAATAGTTCATCTTTACATTAAAAAAAGTTGTGCAGTGATCACAGCTTGTTGATCTCTGAGAAAACAGTCTAATTCTAACCTTTGATGACTAGAGAATAGCGTTTATTAACCAATAATATTGGGTCATATTAAAATGTAAAGCATCTGCCCCCTTTAAAAATATTATGCTGTATAATTTGATGGTGTTAATTTGATATTTCCAATGCTCCATGAAGCATAGACTGTGAACATTAAGGCCTTAAGAGCTGCTGCTTGTGTGCCATCTTCTGAGCTCCACGCATCTCTTTCCACGGATGCTTGATGATGAAAGCTGCTGTTTTTTTAAATGTATTTAAATGCTAAACGAGTCCAGACTAAATTTACTAATCTGTTGTAGGTCGAGTTTACGCTTATATCGGCCCTTTAATTTAAGATCAGTTCATTCCAGGTGAAGCAAATCTTCACACTCTGGTAGATGTTGTTGTTTTTGCTTTGTAAGGTCAAACTCCCAACATCTGTGAAGCGAATTTTGTCACTGAATCAGCAACTTTCTCCGGATTGACGTGCATGTTCGTTGAAAGCTAAAGCCGTGCACAACTGCTCTCTTTTCTCCAACATTCCTCTTGCCTGATGTGTAATTATTTCACATCTGTTGAGACAAGCCTGGCTTCGAGAGTCAAGCCAGTGTTACTGAATGTGAGTCAAAAGATGTTTGTTTATTGACCACCAGGAGGCAATAAATGGAAACATTTTTTGATGCTTCCTCTTGATTCTGCTGCAGTAGCAGCTTTAGGTTATCAGTGATACTCTTTTGTTTGTTTTTCCACGAGAAAAAAAAAAGGAAACCGAGTTTAATCTGTTCAGAAAGTGGTGGATTTATTTATTTTTTTTGGTCTGCACAGGACTGAAATGAAAAGTTCACTGCCATTGATCCGGATGTTTTGCAGAAACTGCATTTCTCATGTGGTATATTTGCAGATTGAACCAATAAAAACTGATAACCAATCTGTTTGCATGTCGGTGCTTTTTTCGTTGGGGGGGTAAACTCTGCCTCATGAAGTTCCTCTAACAAGACAGATCGGTTTAGACCTTTTTTTTTCTCTTTTTAGCAGAACAGACGCAAGTGCGCATGCGCGCAGTAAAACCAAAGGTGGGGCAAAAAAAAACTTGAATGTTTGTGACGGGGAAAATGAGCAACACCGCCTGAAAGTAAACTAAATTTAGTCTGCTTCTCTTTTTGCCTAACCGCTGCCTGTTTAGTTAGTGCTGCTGTTTTAATGTAACATTTAATTTAAAGGAAGAGGATTGGAGCTGCAGAAAAAAACCCATCCAAGTAATGTTGACAGGAGTCGCACCATCGACCTTCCCGTTTGCTTTTATTCTACACCGCTGAACTTTTTCCGATCACTTCTGCTGCATTTAATGTTCATCAAACATCTGAGCTGTATTTTCGGAGGAGGAGATTTTTAACCGGACGTGGAAAAGGACTTTATTTGCTGTTTTCAAATGAACAAGGACGCTGAGAAATAGCTGAATCCTCTGACAGGCTTCAGATTATTTAGTTTTTACCTGCAAACAGGTGAGGTAAGTGTCACACCAACAAATTAATCTGCATTCCAGTTTTAACAAACTTCCTGACTAGTTATAGTTCAGTGGGGATGTTAAAAAGATTTTAGACTTGATTTAAATTTGATTTCACGCTGCAATGTTTCCCTAAACGCCCTGAAGTGAAGAAAAAAGGCAGTTTTTGTGTTATTTTCTGATCTGAAGAGGCTTTTGTGAACATCCTCCTTCAAACTTCTGCCACTTTCTCTGACTTCCTGCCGCGAAGAGGCCCCTGCATGCAGCCCAGCATGTGTCACAACATGTTACTGTAGCTGTTCTTACTGATCATCTGGGTGATCCTATGTTTGATCAGCTTTTTTACCAGCATTCATTCATGGACCAGTTCAAAATGAGGGAGGTCTGCAGATTGATGCTGGATTTTCTTTGAGTTTTAATATTTAGTGGCAATGCAATCAATGAGGTATGATTATACCATGCAGGATTTAATAAAAATATGCTTAAAAAGTGCACTAAACAGAAATTATATTAAAAAAACCCTGCAAGATTTGCAATATTACTTAAGCTGATGACGTCAAAGGAAAGACAAGATCAGCCAGCTTTGGCAAATATGAAGGATGAGTAACTTAACATATTTCAACATGCTTTCAGACATTTTTGGGTTGCAACAGATTCATGCTTATTCACGTCACCTGCAAACTTTTTCTGATGTCTTTTATCTGTTTATATTTCAGTTTGATTTATTTATTTTTTAGGTGTGCATATAATATGCAGCATATTCAACCCCAATCCAATCCAATACTCTGTATCACCTTAATTATTTGCATAATTGGCCATTGGAGTAATTCTGCATGCAGGGTGAATTCATAGTTCATCTGATTTGAACAGCTGTCTTTCGGATAGTCGAACAATGGGATTTTATTTTCTTTATCATACATTTCCCTTTTGTCTGGGGATGATTCAGAAAGCTGTGTTGCAGGTGCATGTGTGCAAAGGCTAACTAGGAGAAAGCACCAAGCACACTTTTTTGGAAACTTTGTTCAAAATGAAGGCTGCAGATCTTTTAAACAAATCTGCTCGTTCCAGCCTGATTCGATCCTTTTTAATAATCCCTTCCATGTGCTTTATTGCTGCCAGATTGTCCAGAAATGCAAATGGCACTCTCAATTACATCTGAAATGTTTTGCTGCAGCAGAACAGATAACCAATGATGCAAAGAAATGTTAAAAACATGACAACATAAGAGGTAAAAATCAAAGAAAACACTGATCAGTTGCTTTGTGGGATGTCAGCAGATGAATGTTTGTTGTTGTTTTTTTTTTTTAGAAAGGTCTGTTTATTAAATACTGATTTACAATTAAACAGTCAAACAAACCAACCAACCAATCACATTTTGAATTGGTGATCAGTTCTATTTATGGATGAGGCGAGTTGGAAAGGGTAACAACCACAACCAAATCCTAGCGTCAGCTCATTTTTACTGAAAGTTGGAGGTCGGCTGATACCGCCAATGGGCTTTTTTAGGCCAGGCTCTTTTGTTTTAGACTGTTATAAACTACAGAGGCAGATTTAGCAAGTGAAACTAGCTGGGAGCTCATAAAACCACAGCAAAGCATCAGCACAGCAGCTTGCAGTGCACACTGTGTGCACATGCAGCACTGCTGCAAGGAAGTGTCCGTCTTCTTCTCAAGCATGCATCTCTCAGACTTTTATGGGTAGTGATATCTGCATTGCCAAACATGTACGGAAGAGGATTAGGGCCACTGAACAAAAAAAAGAAAAAAAAAGTTTACTGATTTTAAAATTTTATTTCAATTTAGTGTTGGACTTTATTCTGACTTTAATCTCAAAATTCTGACTTTAATCTCAAAATT